TTTTTTTTTTTGGAGCCAACTAAGAAAGTGGCATTAATCATCTATTCCTTCAAAAAGTCCCCCACCACCCCACTTTCTCAAAAATCCACTGAATATATGCTCACACTGCGCTAGTGTTTCTCATTACATGGAAAGAAACGGCCCACTTAGCCATTTTAGCGGACGCAGTATTTGTTTGTCTTCCATTGGATAGAATTCGTTTCTCTTTCCTTGAAAGCTCTCAACTTGACCATCATCTATATATTATCATATCACACTCCATTACCGTACTAGCTAAAAGGCCCTCATTATTCTGCTTTCATATGTAAGATTTCTCTTTCACTCACTTTCCCATTTTTGAGGTTTTAATATCATTTGTTTGTGGGTTTGTTTTACTGTATCTCTGCAATGTTCTTGGTTGGCTTGACTATTTTTAGTAAAGTGAAAAAAAATCAGGAGGAAATGCTCAATCTTGTACTTGTTCACTACAACTGGGTTTTTAATTTCAGATGATGTTGAAAACCGTACACTGAAAAAGAAAGGGTTTTTGCATGTTGAAATGCTCAATTTCTTTTGTCTTCCTGCATTTCCAATGCAACAGAACAGAAAATCACTCAATAAATTGATGACTCCATTGTCTGATTTTCTTGTTTTTCTTCTTTTTTAGCAAGTATTGGGAAGTGGAGGTCGAGGAGTGACGAAGATGGGTAGGGCTTTAGCTGGGTTTTTGGGGATTTTGTGGTTGTGCTGGTGGATAGCCGTGGTGGAAGCGGAGTCTGCCAAGTACAAGGATCCAAAGCAGCCAGTGGCAGTTCGAATCAAAGATCTGATGAGCAGAATGACCGTAGAGGAGAAGATTGGTCAGATGGTGCAGATTGATAGAACTGTTGCTTCTGCAGATATAATGAGAGATTACTCCATAGGTAATCCACAATTTGCATAATGAAAATTGATAGTGTACTTAATTCAAGCTGACTTATTTTTCTTCCCACAGGGAGTTTATTAAGCGGGGGTGGGAGTGTTCCACTTCCAGAGGCCACTGCTCAGGATTGGGTAAATATGGTAAATGATTTTCAAAAGGGGTCTCTTTCTAGTCGTTTGGGGATTCCCATGATCTATGGCATTGATGCTGTTCACGGCCATAATAATGTCTATAATGCTACCATATTTCCACATAATGTGGGGCTTGGAGCTACCAGGCAAGTACAGGTTTTCATGTCTCTTTTGATGTTTCTTCTCAAAGAACTTCCTAAAAGTTTTTTTACTTTGTCCTTGAAGAATGTTTGTGAATTTCCATGGTTTCTGTCAAATTTCCCTTTCGACGTTTTTGTGAAATATTAATTTTCACATCTTCGTTCTTTTAAATTTTCATTATGGTCCTCCAGACTGAAAGGAAACAATATGATGCAAAAGTTTTACATGACACCTTATTGAGTAACACCTTTGAGATGCACCTGCAACTCATGCTAACTGTAAATGAACAGGGATCCAGACCTGGTTAGGAAAATAGGTGCTGCAACTGCTCTTGAAGTTAGAGCCACAGGGATTCCTTATGTCTTTGCTCCATGCATTGCGGTAAATTACACTCTTCATGATAAGTTGATAACGTTGCTGACCATTTCTTGAACTTGGCATATATGAGGTCACCATTTCATTATGCAAGTTTCTTTTTTTAACTGACATTGTCTCTATAGGTTTGTAGGGATCCAAGATGGGGACGCTGTTATGAAAGCTACAGTGAGGATCCCCAAGTTGTACAACAGATGACAGAGATCATACTGGGGTTACAAGGAAATCCACCCAATGGTTCTCGGAAAGGAGTTCCATATGTTGGTGGCAAGTATGAACTCTATCAAAGTGAAAACACCTAATATAATAGACATTAACCCTTGGAAGTTCTGCAGTGATCATCTATGGTTCTTAATCACCCACTATTGAGTTTTCTAGCACTAAAACATTGCATATCCTTTTAATGATGTATGTTATTGTTTTAGCATGGAGGCAGTTTGTCAATGCCTCTTTTGCTGACTCAGGCTCCTGAATATACACATCCTTTTCTGTGATAAAATCATGTTGATCTAGTATATCATAAACTTCATGATTAGTAACATCTACACAACATCTTTTTGGTTTAACATTACTCTATTTAGGGGCAAACACTAATGCTTTATTATCAACTGAAATGGTAAACATCATAGTAGATTAGGTTATTATTCTGTGCCGTCTCTATGTGAATTCATTGTTCATATTAACTTTTGGCAGGGACAAGGTTGCTGCTTGTGCAAAACACTTTGTGGGTGATGGTGGGACAACCAGGGGTATCAATGAGAACAACACTGTCATTGACATGCATGGATTGCTCAGCATTCATATGCCTGCCTATTCTGATTCAATACTCAAAGATGTTTCAACAATCATGGTTTCCTACTCCAGCTGGAATGGGGAAAAGATGCATGCAAATCAAGAGCTAGTTACTGGTTTCCTCAAGAACACCCTTAATTTCAAGGTTGGGTTGACATAGTTAATTTCATTATCTATTTCAGCTTTTGTCAGTGGTAAAATTGTATCTTATTGTAGAACTAGAAATATTAGCCATTCAGCATTGATGCTTAAAAAATTGAGGTGTTAGTCTGTCTCAAGTGCAATCATGGACTTGGATATAAATGCAAAACAAATCAGCAGATATGCTTTCAGACTGCTGTTTGTAACATTTGCCGCATTTATAAAGAAATTATTTCTTACATTTTGTAAAATTGTATGTATGTCCAAATCTTTAGAGATGCACACACGTAATTGCTCCCTACACCCTCACCCTGTCCAGTGAATGCTTCTAATTCTGTCCATTGTGCTTGCATGTATCAATAACAGATTTGAATATTTCAGGCTAACTCTGCCTACATTGTGTATGAATTTTCAGGGTTTTGTCATTTCAGATTGGGAGGGCATAGATAGGATCACCTCACCACCACATGCAAACTACACGTACTCTGTCCAAGCTGGCATTCAGGCAGGCATTGACATGGTCAGTTTCTACTCCCTGGAAAGAATTGCTTTCCCAAACCAGAAAAAGTGATGCAAAAGTCAGATTTTGAGAAAATGGAGTTTAAAAGTAGGACTCTTAATCTGTGCTTCTCAGGTCATGGTCCCCTTCAACCATACAGAATTCATTGATGATCTTACATACCTAGTCAATAGCAAAGTTATCCCAATGAATCGTATTGATGACGCTGTACGAAGAATTTTGCTGGTCAAGTTTACCATGGGTCTCTTTGAGAACCCTTTGGCTGATTTCAGCTTAGTCAATGAGCTTGGAAGCCAGGTCAGTTAGTTATATTGTAAAGAGACAGATTCCTAGTGCATCAATCTGGAATTAATTTCTAACCCAAGTTTTAGGCTGCCTTGTATTATTGTATGCAATTGAATGTTTAAAATAGGTGTTCTCTCTCGAATTTTCAATGCAGCAAATAATTTTTCATGTGGCATGTGGTTTCATAAGTATTGATTGCCTTATTACTCAAACAGGCACACAGAGAATTGGCAAGGGAAGCTGTGAGGAAATCACTTGTACTACTGAAGAATGGGAAAAATGGAACAAATCCATTGCTACCCCTCTCGAAGAAGGCTTCAAAGATCCTAGTTGCTGGTACCCATGCTGATAATTTAGGCTATCAATGTGGTGGTTGGACTATCAATTGGCAAGGATTCAGTGGAAACAACTATACAAGGGGTATGCTTCCCTTCATGCATCTATATCTTAAAACATCCAAACCTAAAAGATTTGTTTAATATTCTCTTAAGTAGGAGGAACTCATAAAATGATGTTAAAAAATGATGTCTTCATTAACCTAGTTGACAGTGAAGATTTCTTCATAAATTTAAAATATACTTTTTTGATTAGGAACAACAATCCTGGGTGCCATAAAATCTGCTGTTGACTCAAGCACTGAAATTGTCTTCCAAGAGAACCCTGATGCTAACTTCTTCAAGTCCAAAAAATTTGATTATGCCATAGTTGCTGTTGGCGAGCCCCCTTATGCCGAGACTGCAGGGGACAGTGCAACCCTCACAATGAAAGATCCTGGTCCAAGTGCCATTAGCAATGTTTGCAATGCTGTTAAGTGTGTGGTGGTTGTCATTTCAGGCAGACCTATTGTGATTGAACCATATATTGATGCAATTGATGCACTAGTGGCAGCATGGTTGCCAGGAACAGAAGGCCAAGGTGTGACTGATGCTCTTTTTGGGGATTATGGATTCAGTGGAAAGCTTCCAAGAACATGGTTTAAAACTGTCGATCAACTACCAATGAATGTTGGGGATCCACACTATGATCCACTATTTCCCTTCGGGTTTGGACTTAAAACCGAGTCAGTTCCAAGCATTGTGGCAAAGTAAGATATTCCCCTGTTATTTTGATCAAGCTGATAGTCCATTTAGCTTTCTGACTGTTATTATTATTAGCTTTATGCCCGCTGCTGAAAATGAACTAGTTATATGATATTTGGGAATCTAGGAATAGCAATATATATGTCTGATTAACTCATATAACTTGGTTCATATTGTCTTCAGGGCAACGTCAGCTGCAGATTCTCCAAGGCCATATATTGTTATACTCATGGCTTCTATATCTTCGTGGTTTGTACTCCAGAGGTAAGGAGATTGAACCTCATTTCTATTGTTACCAATTGTATAACTGTTTTCATTTTTAGTCGATTTACAAATTGCCGGTTGGCTTTGATAGGTAATCACCCTAGTTGGTGAAGTTAGTTACGTGTGGCTACAGGAAGTGGCATTATTGGAAGATTTACCTCGGCAGCAACATTCTCCAATGCTAATTTGCTATGTGCCCAAATTGTTAGGATTTTGGTTTATGTGGCTAGACTTAGTACCATTCAATCAATAAAATCATTCTTCATTTTTGAAGAAGTTTCTGATTAATTTTGTCTTTCTTTAATTTTATGTATTTATTTGTTTCATTCGCCTTTAGCCTTCTAGTATTTTTAGCCTACAAGTTTCACGGGTACTTTGCTTCTCCGCGAACTCAACTTTCAAATGGTTAAATATTTAATTTGGTCCCTCAACTTTTATTTTTAAAACAAATCTATCCTTAACTTTAAAAATTAAATTTTAAGAATCAAATCGGGTATTTAATCTTAGAAACAATTGAGTCTAGGATATTTGACGGTGGTAGCTCTGCTACTTGCATCGGAACTACCGTTGAAACTGTTGAACTGTTATAGGACCAGAGAAATAAGATAGCTGACATGGCAGGGGGTGTGCTTAGGTGGATGGTTGTTGATGATGTATGTAGATGATGATGCATGAGATATGATGTATGTACAAAGAGCAACTATAAAGCTCATTCTTGTAACAAAATTGGTTATCGAAAAATGAATACAATTTTCCTTTCTTCAATTTCTCTCCTCTTCTCATCCCTTCTAAGATTGTTTCTCATCTCACCTCCCTTCTCGATTCTTTTCTCATCTCTATTTCTTGATTCTTTGTGGATTGTTGCTTGGGTCAATATCATTCGGTATCAGAGCTTCGATCCTTTGATCTATGGCAATGGTGAGTAACACTAGATCTCAAGAACAAGCGAAATTCAAAGCTGAGATCAGGGGATTGATCTCAAACACCCAGAGGGATTTTCTTGAATTGCAGCGACATACTGAGGAGCAATTCAAGAAGAATGACGAGCAGTTGGTGGCCATACGGAAAGAAAGGAAAGAGCAATTTGAGTCTTTATCCAAGATGATGTTGCAATTTATGAATTGAGTGGGGGTAACTCCGACCTGTAGTTACGGAGATCATATGAAAATGGCAATAAATCCATGGGTGCAAGAACAGATACAAAAGGAATGTGAGTTCGATGAAGTAGAAGAGAATTTCTTGAGGATTTTGAGTTGGAATGACCTTGTTTCTCACCAAGAAACCACTAAGGTAAGCACAAATTGTGACCTTCCGTTAAATGCTGAATTTAAAGATTTGAGTGAAGAAAATTTTAGCATTCCGAATAATAATGAGTATGGGAATGAGTTTAGAGGTGGGATAAGTAATGAGAAAGTTCAGAAAGTGTGTAATGAAGTTAATTTAGTTGATGAGCAAATGACTTCAAGGCTGTGCATAGACACTATTGAATTGGGGGTCGAAAAGTTTTGCTTCTTAGGTTTTGATGTCCATGAGGCAGCACTTGAAGGTGAGCAAATAGAAGTGCAAAGCAAGAAAGTGGAAAAGAGTGGTCTATAAGCTGAATTGGTGAACGGATGCATTCACTGGAATTTCAAGAAGAGAAAAAGGAAAATGATTTACAAGGTACTTGTAGTGGTTGTTAATTGGAAAAGAATGTGTGATGATACTCAAAAGCAAAATCTGTGTTTGTTGTGAATTCTCTAAGAAAAATTCCAATAAATGTGGATATCAAGTGGTATGTTGACAAATCAAAAATGGCTTTTTTGGCCAGAAACAGAAACTTGGTATTCAATAAGATGGCTTGCAAATATATTGTGGTATACATTGTGTTTACCCTTAATTTTACAACAAATAGAGTGCTGCCACATGTCACCCATGCTGGTAGATATTTTATTGGTTGAAAGTTGGTCTAAATTTTTCCAGATAAGATTGAGTGGTTATTTCAACAACGACAGCAAAACCGTTCTCTTGTTGCAAGCTTCCAGGAGGATAGTCCCAGCACCAACAAATTAATCGGTTTGTTGCAGATATCGCGCTGCCGTTGGTTTTTCAGGATGCTGCTGCAAATTTCCACCATGCTGCCAAAGTGTTATAAATACTTGATGATGAGATCAAGCAAAGGATCAACATCTCACAAAACAAACTCAACACAATTTCTCTTTATGCTCAGATTCATCTTAGTTTCAAGCTCTTTAATTTAATTTCAACTCTACACATCAGCCTAGATTAGTTTAGTAATTCAACTCTTCATTTGTTGGATTTGTAATGGTGAGTTTCATTCCCTTCAGTAGTATTTCTTTGTAATCATATTGCTTCTTTTCCTTTTCTATTTTCTAAGTTTCCTTTAATTAAATCAAATAATGTCGACATTTAATTTCATGTTCAATTCTAGTTCTGTTAATTTATATTTCATGCTGCTAGTAGATTTTCCTTGTTTTCGGTTTTATTTACTTTAACTTAATTTACTTTTGCTGCAATTAAATTTTCTTTTAAAGCTCTGTTTCAACCCAGTTTGCATATTTAAAGATCATTTAGATTTTCAGTAGTTTAGTGATAATTTATTTTCCTTGCAGTCTTAACTTTTCTTGATTACATTAGCTTTGAAAAGTCCTTGGAATCATATCTAGGGCATTTTGCTGTATAACCCATTTAGTGCAGGAAGTTCATCCCTTGTTTCTACTAATCGTCTGATCTTTAAGGTGTAATTTACAACGTTCTTCCATCAACTCACAAACTGAGTTCTACACTTGAAAAAAAGAGAGGGTCGTCAGAGAAATCTTTCTTGTTTTGAGCAAAGCAAGTGGCACACCATTTCACCTGCCACATGTCAAGGAGATTTTTTGGGATAACATATTGTTAAGGATGTCTTTTAGAACTTTATTAGAAATGTGTAGTGTGTGAGCAATGCTTCAAGAGTTACTAGCTATACAATCTGTATTGGAGAGTTTAAATACAAAGAAGAGATGCAGAATGGTCCACAGTTGACTGATATTAGTACAAGAAGACAGGAGGGTGAGAATGTGTTACACAAGTGCAAATCTGGTTTTGTGAATTTCACCCTTGAGGACAAGGGTTGTTTAAGGGAGGGGATTGTTATAGGATCGGAAATAAGACAGTTGACAAGGCAAGGGGTGTGCTTAAGTGGACGGTTGTTGATGATGTATGTAAATGATGATGCATGAGATATGATGTATGTACAAAGAGCAGTTATAAAAAGCTCATTCTTGTAATAGAATTGGTTATCGAAAAGTGAATACAATTTTCCTTTCTTCAATTTCTCTCTTCTCTTCTCATCCCTTCTAAGATTGTTTCTCATCTCACCTCCCTTCTTGATTCTTTTCTCATCTCTATCTCTTGATTCTTTGTGGATTGTTGATTGGGTCAATATCATGAACCTAGAGACGAGAAATTTGGGACTGCTCCTCCGATTCGAGGTGGAAAGGGGGATTGCCGGAGAGTAGAATGGAGAAAGATATATAAAAGGTGTTCGGAGTTTTGTAGAATTTTTTATTTTTTTGGAATTTAAGGGAACGGGCTTGAGCATTTTTTAGGCCGTTAGAAGTTGGGCATTTCTTCGGCCCTAAGGGCTTGGGCCTTTAATTGGGTCATAAGAACATAAAATTTTGCGGAAGCCTTGGAATTTCTAAAAGGATAAACTTCTTCTGACATCCCTAGCCTTTATCACATGGGACTCTTTCATTCCTATCATCATTATCATAGTAGTATGGTACCCTTAATAGTTTTGGAACCTCATGTAGTCCCCAACCTTCGCTATAGTTGCCCTAATAGTCCTGTTCATTCGAGACGTTTCAAAGCCCAGATGTCGGGCACATGCTGTACCCAAAAATTATTCTCTCCCCTCCATGACAGTTAAAAAATAAAATTAATTTTTTAAAGAAGAAGTTAAGATTGCTCTTAAAGGAAATGTTTTTGGTAAGTTCTAAACAAAAGTAAGAGTAGTAATCATCTGTTCAGCACAGTCATTCAGAACTAGAATACGGCAGAAAACCATGAGACTGCAGGTTTTGCCAACAAGAACTAGAAAAGGATGCAGGTATGTCCTTGCAACAATCAATCACAGAAAGAAAATTCCAGCAAACTAGAAAAGCCAAGCTGCTTGATCTTTTGCTTGCCAACCATCCAACCATGTCTGATGAACATGGACCCAGACAAAACCATCTGGTGCCTCAGCTTGCTGAAACAGCGGAACCCAAAATCGTAAGATTTAAATGTTCCGATATTTATAAAAAAAAAATAGCAGGATGTATTGAAAGGCAGAGGGGGAATAAGGGATCAATTTACAGTGATACCTTTGTGTTAAGTAGGACTGTTGTTATACAGCAGTGCCTCTCTTCCCCTGAAAGATTAACTCAACAATGCTCAGAAAAGGCAACAAAAATTCTAAATTCAGCAAGAGCCAAAAATTCTAAATTCAGCAAGAGCCAAAGTCTTTAATCTTTATAATTGTTGATTGGTAGAAGGGCCTAAAAGACATCTGTTATCAATTGCATCTAACTTTTCTTAAATAGCTGGAAATTAAAGAAATCTCACCATTTGATTCCCACTTATCAAACTTCACAAGCCATGCACCTGAACCAATCTGTGCAGATGAAACTCTATCCACCCATACACGATATTGTGTTCCTTCCTTATCTCCATATAATCTTGCCATCATATCTTTGCACTTGTGCAATTGTTGCTCACTTCCAGAAGGGTGAACAAATATACCCAATGAATACTGAGGAGAAAAAGAATGAAGCAAAATTAAACAATTATACCCACTAGTTCACCAAAACAGAAAGAACTTCAAGGTTTGGCGCTCAGAATACAAGGCCTTGGCAAATCAAGTCAAAAAAATTTCATAACTAAAATGAATAGGCTGAACTCTTCCCTGGTTGAAAAAAATGAGGTTTTCATGTGCAACACCAATAGAAGCATATTCTATTGCAAGTAGACATAAATATTTCCAACCAAGAATCATATCAGTCAAAATTCAGAACTTGTTTTGAAACAGGTACTATTAAATTTATGATCTAAGGTGATTATGATTCACATGATCTCACACTATTCAAAATTTTGACACTCAGGTTAGTTAAATTAATGCATGTCAAAATCATTCAGACTTACCCCCTAATTTTCAGTGTGAATAAGAAAAAGATTAATCTTTATTATTGCAACACATCTTTTCCAATTGCCACACACAAGAAAGGAATGTAATTACGCTTCTCTAGAGTTAAGATTCCAAGGCTAAGTTTTCATTCAAAGAAATTGTTGTTGCAGTAAGAATTCCAAAATGAAAACGTTAGAAAAGAAATTAGACATACAAAGATCGATTGCATATGGTGGTCGGACTTCTCAACTTCAGCACGTCGCCATCTCTCATAAAATAAATAAAACTTTACCACTTCATGACCAGGACTGAAGCTTTCTGCTCTGCAATTTATAAAGTCTTTAGTGTCTCTCAGAGACAGGAATGGGCCAAGATTAAAATTAGCAATGGCTTGAATGATTCCGGCTGCACATCTCTCAGTTGAATGGATTATATTAGAATTGTTCTTTGCATTTTCGGCATGCCACTGTAACAACTCTTCCTGTGCATTGCTGACCTGCATATTGAAGATGCGAATAGCGCTAAGTAGATGCAATCAATGTTCAAGTGTATGATGTAAAACAAGTAGATAAAGAGGACAAGCTCATGAGGCTACAGACCACAACACCATATACTCCAGGAACACTGAATAGTTCAGCATCATTTCCAGAATCACCACAAACAAGTGTATTGAGTGGCAATTTTCCATTATCTTTGAATTTTTTGAGTAAATATGCAAGAGCCTGTCCTTTTCCAGCACCTTTGGGTAATACATCCAATGCTGTCCCGCTACTATAAATAATTTTTATGTCTAACTGCCAATGAAGACATTATTAAGCAACAGTGTCCATTCGAAAAAGGAAATAAATTATCTTCTTAAATAGAATTGCAGAATGTAAGAAATTAGTCTCCTATATACTTCAGACTCTATATAGAACCTTGGCTAAAAAACAGGCTACAATCTTACCCAACGCTTCTCTAAATGTTCTGAGAGAAGCTTGATCACTTCTGATGACTTAGCCTTCTCAATGAAAAAGCTAACTTTGTGAGGTCGTTGCTCTGTATCTGACTGCAATGAGTACATACTCAAATTGTAAATCCTGTCATCTTGATTGCTTGATGCACTGCATCAAATCTCGTCACATAATAATTGCATAAGGGAGCACGTGACTGTTATAAACTTGAAGCTTGGATTGAGTATAGCAACTAGCAGACATTTTCCAAGAAAATTCCATTGGCTAGAAATATACCTGAGGGATAAGCTCAGGAAACTTGGCTGTTTCCTCAAGGACAATGTCCCGGTCCCAATTCTGATTCAAGTATTGTTCCCAGGCATCATCTCGTACCATTGAATCACCATACGCAATCTCAGTTCCCACAGACATTATGGTTATATCTGGTGTCAGCAAGGGCTTCTCATTCCTCAACTGCTTATACATTGTTGGAGACCTTCCAGTAGAAAACACTAACAAAGAATCATGACGGTAACAAGCTTCCCACAGTGCATTAAACATAAGAAGCGAACGGTTCTCTGCTTCATCATGATCAACCTACAAACACAAGCCCCCTATCCCCCAATCAAATCAAGAGAATTCAGCAAAATTATCAACTAATAGTTAAGAGGAAATCTACCATTGTGTAATCAAGATCCGAAACTATCATGAGCCGCGCAGGTCCATCAAGTCTATCCATAGTTTGTTAATCCCTCTACAATCCAAGAGATTCAAACCAGAATACTACATCATCAACAAAAGGAATTTCCTTTCCTAAAAATATAAAACAGAAAATCAATCCAAGAACAGTCATATCATCCTTACCGAGACTAACACTAAGAAGATCAAATGGTCTCAGAAAGTCAGAATCATACCTTCATAGCTTCCACGGTGAATCAAAATACAAATATATTTACATATTTCCATCAATTCAACAATCAAAGTAACAATAACGCAATTTAACGCCATCGAATCTGCTAATCTTATGCAGTCAAGGAAGCAAAGACAAATTAAGAAGAAAATGATGAAACCAGGCGGAGAAGTTGGAAAAACGGAATTACCGGCAATCGGTGAGCGACGGCGCCTGTACAACTCCAACTGCCGCAGCAATCCGAGACGTAATGATTTGTACATTTGTGTGCTTATGAAGAAGAAATTGATGTCAGACGTCAGACCGTGAATCCGTTGAGAATATTCCTTTGGAAGCTGTAAGCAGAGCATCAACGATGTTCTTTCATTATTATGTTATATATTATTTTGCAGGGATAGGAGTTACAAATTAACAATTATGTGTACTAATTTTTACCAAAAACAAATTGTATACACTGAAAAAAATTATTTGCGATGTGTGAAAATAGCACTTTTAGTCCCTATACTGTCAAATATTGGGCATTTTAATTCCAAAATTATTTTCTGTCGCAAAAAAATGTAACACTGGAAAAGGAATAATGTTTATTTGGTACCGGAAAAGTAAACACCAACGCTGCTCAGATTCTTCCATAAAAAAATAATAATAATAAAATAAAATTCCAGTAACAACAGATAATGGGAGCTATGTTCTTATATATCTCTTCAGCAAAACCATGAGAATGTTCATCCACTGCCTGAGCGTCCACAGTAGTTGCAGCTTCAGCTGGTGCTACTGTAATTAGTTAAAAATACATTAAAAGAATGTATCTGGACATTCCCAGATACATTTTACAATTTGAACTCTAATGTTCTTCACTAGCAAGGACAAAAGTGCAACATTTCACTCAACTAGAATATAAATAGATTCAAATAAATATTCATCAGTAGACGGTTCTGAATTTAAATAGCTTGCTGCTATACAGCAGAAATTGCAGCATAGCCTTTCTTCTCAAGAAGTTCTGCTAAGGAACTATCTCCTGTCTTCATGATTCGTCCATCCTCCTAAAGACCATAAAGACGAACAATCACAACACAACTCAACTGGTTACAGGAATGATAAATACCTTCTCATGATGAACAAAGGAAGTCCACCGTTCAGGAAAATGCTTATGCTAGAAAGAACAAAGTAAAAAAAAAAAATAATAATAATAATAATAATAGCCAAAGGAAAGTCATTCTACATAGAGATAACAGAAAAAGCCAAATGATTAATGGAACTTTGTTCATTTGAGTGACATAAAAATCTCAGTCTAATTAACTTAAATCTTATAAAATCGCTTCTAATGCCTAGCTAAAGAAAACAAAGCTACTTGCAGGTGCACCATGGCATTTTATTCTTCATGAGAAGAAGAGGAAGAAGAAAATGGAGAATGCAAGAAAATAGAGCCAGTCTCATTTGTTTGGCAGCACACATGTTTCAAGTAAAAACAGCTTTGTCATTAAGAAAAGAGCAGTATTAAAGGGATAAATACCACTCCTCAAATATCTAAATAACAGAGCCATGACTCTCATTTTCTACTCCCCTTGTGACTTGAAAGGACCAGACACTGAAGACTACAAGCAGAATAACAAAATCTAGTAATATCTTACCATAATATGGACAAGAGTTGGTTTTATGAATTCCAAAAGTCGTCGATAATGTGTAATCATTAAAACAGAGTTCTTTGGAGTCAGAAGTGCATTCACTGCTTTTGCTACATCTCTAAGTGCATCAACATCTAACCCAGAATCAATTTCATCCAGTATGGCCAAGTCTGCCCCCAAAACCTAGAACACAAACAAAATGAGAAACAAAATACAAATTTTTTAGTTTTCCTGCATTAAAACATCCCCAAATGTAAGTAGCATCATACTGCATCTCCTCCCTTTTTTTAGAAAAAGAAAATAGCATAATCACAAATGCAATAAACTCAATAAATTACATGAAGAAATTGTTCCTCAAAAAGAAAAGAAGACAAGAATAAAGATAATCATATCCATACAGCAAGTTGTAAAATCTCATTGCGCTTCCTTTCACCTCCACTAAACCCTTCATTGACATTTCTGTTAAGGAAGTCAATCTTCATGTTTACAAGATCGAGTTTAGGAGCAATGTAAGCATAGAACTGCAAGACAAAACCAGGAGGTTCTGTAATAAGTACATAGGTGCATCCTTGATATCTTTAAAACTTTTCAGTTGATTACTTGAAAAATAAAATCATCCAAAGCAGGCAAAGCAGAAGAAAATCTAAAGACATCACCAAAATCTTAGTAATGGACTTCATGTTCATTCCCCCTAATGGATACAGAATTATACCCATCAAAGCACAATGATGGTGGAGTGGTATAAATGCAGCCATAATACATACCTCAAGTGGGCCAAGTTCTGGCTCCCCAAGTTGCTTCCTTCGAGCATTGTATGCCATATTCAAGAAATCGATATTGTTAACACCCGGAATCTCGACTGGAGACTGGAAGCTCATAAAAAGCCCAGCAAGGGACCTTTCCTCTGGTTCCATGTCAAGCAAGTTCTCCCCTTTAAACACAACACTGCCTCGGGTCACCTCATAATCCGGGTGCCCAACAAGAACCTACAATGCATAAGACCTTACTCAGCCTTTTGATCATACTGCTAAAACTTGCTTAGTATCACAAAATAATGATTTACTTAAAAGACACAACTTATAATCACCTTTGACAGTGTACTCTTTCCAGAACCGTTCTTCCCCATTATTGCATGAACCTAATCAAAATAAAATTCAAAGCAGCTATTAGTTAATCTATTCTAAAGAACCCATCTCTTGCTTTAGGATTTCCGAACGATTAAGGTTAGAAAGAACACAAATTGATACCAAAGATTAGTCTTTGAAGACAGACCTCTCCTTCACAAACGACGAGATTTACGCCTTTAAGAATCTCTTGTTTCGTCTCTGCAATCACGGCCGTCAAATCTCTGACTTCGAGCAGAGGCTTCTTGGAATCATCACCACTGCCCTTGGACAAGGGCGCGGTAGAATCGATGGCGGATAGGCGGAGGGTCACATGAGGCCGGTTTTTGCGAGAATTGCAGCATAAACGAAGACGACGAGTGGAGAGGATCGTAAATAAGGAGGAGTTGGAGGGCAAACATAGGGGTCTAGAAGGAGAAGAGGAAGAAGAAAGAAGAGGTAATAGAGCACTTGCCATTTCCACACCAGACCTTTCTAACGTTTTACCTCCGTTTTCTAGAAGCTAAGCGCCGTGGTATAAATACTTTCCCTTCTTGTTTTTTTTTTTCGATCTTCTTGGAATTTATAACAATTATTTTGAATATATAAAGAATAAAAATAATAAATCTAGGAAAATAAAGGACGTTTTTTCTTTGGGGGTATATAATGCATGTAGTATTTGCTTCTTTTAAAATGTCTAGCGTGGATGCAATATGTTGTGAGTATAGAATATACTTTATTTTTTAAAAAAGGAATGTCTTAGACTAATGAAATAAAAAAGACGCATATACAGTTATAATTACAAGGGAAATGATATTTATATAATTTTTTTATTTTATATTTTTATATAATTTGATATATTATTAAAATGATTAATTTTTTTAATTTATATGAGATTTATAATATTAAATACATTCACTTATTTAATATATGAAGGTTATATAAAAAAATAAGATGAAAAGATTATGTCAATAGTACCACCCTAATTACAATGATAGTAATGTAAATGCTGCAAGCTGTTCCTAATTCTAATATTCATTCTCAGATAAAATGCTACAATTAAAGGGTAAAGTAAAAAGAGCACAATGATGCAATTTTTAGTGGTGGTGCCTTTGTGGTAAAGAAAGTTTGTTATACGTCCGGAATATTATATAATAGAAGTAATATTTTAAATCAATAAAAAAACACTACATCAATTTATTTTTTTCACAATTCATCAATTACTTAACAAAGAGAAAAGTTGATGGGGTGATATTGGATTGATTCACGATACCACTTCTGCTGTATTTTCAGGATAAAACAGATTTTTTCCTATGCATTATATCTCATAGCTGCAACAAAAACATGTCTACAAATCAATCTTGTCTATACAAACAGGTCTCAGAAGAAAGATGAAACATCAAGTTAGTTTCATTGAAACTTAAGAAAGATGAAACGTCAATTCAGGTTCATTAAAAAGTTTTGATAAGTCCAAGTATTACATCAATGCTTATAAATTAAATTTTAGACTAACACTTTAAAATTTTAATTTAGGAACATAAAAAAAATTAAAAAAACAAATGAAAATTTCTCTTAAAAGATGAAGTAAATTCTTTCATTTTGCCGCACTTGGGTTTTCGGTTCATTGATGTTAAGTTAGGTATAAACGCATTTTTTTTCTTATGGCAACGGTTCGTGCCAATTTGTTCAAAAAAAAAAATTCTTCCATTTTGCCTCACTCTACTGCCTCTCTTGAGCTGCCCCATTTTATTTTTCCCTTCATATATTTTCTGGTAAATTCTTCACAGGATCAATCTCTGTGTTGGCATCTTCAAGGCACATGGGTAAAGCCGAACTTTGCATTCTGAATTTGGAACATGTACATAGATTGACAAATACATCATTCACAATCCTCCCATGGGTAAAATAAAAATCAAATTCTTGGCTTACAAACCCCTAATTCTTCTTGATCACAGATCCACAAATATTTTTTTCTTTTCTGAAATTTCATACATATTTTTTTATGACTCACTTTTAGAAAAGCTTAAAGTAGACTCCCGAACTCGGAGGACCCAATTTTCTTTTCTTTTCTTTTCTTCCCATAGAAACCTTGTTTGAGATTGTCTCACGTGTTCCTTTCTATTTTTACACTGCAACCGACGCTACTTTAACCCACCAACCTCCACTTCCCTTATTATTACTACTTAACAACCTCTCACCTCTGACTCTCAGAGAAAAAAAAAAATAAAGGAAGAAGAAGAAGAAGAAGGCAGAGAAGGAGGAACAGAAAGACTGGCCTTTGAAGCGAATAAAGCTCTCTGCTTTTTATAAGCCTTCTCTACAAGAAACCCCTCATTCTCTTCATCTGCCATGGCTCCTTTCTTCACCTTCCTCTTCCTCCTCTCCACTCTCCACCTCACCCCCACATTGCAACAGACCACAGTATCTCATTCCGGTCAGATCAATTCCAACTCTGTTCTGGTTGCTCTGCTTGACTCGCATTATACAGAGCTTGCTGAATTGGTAGAAAAGGCTCTTCTTTTACAGACCCTTGAAGATGCCGTGGGGAAGAACAACATCACGATTTTTGCCCCCAAGAATGAAGCGCTGGAACGGGATCTCGATCCTGAGTTCAAGCGCTTCTTGCTCGAGCCAGGGAATCTCCGGTCGCTTCAGACTCTGTTGCTTTACCACATTGTGCCCACGAGGATTGAGCTGAACTCCACCACCGAGTCAACTCACCACCACACTCTCGCCCAAGACCGGGTGGAGCTAAACAGTCAGGAATCGGGTTCTATATTTATTAGCACGGCAAAGGTTATACACCCGAATGCCGTCGGCCGTCCAGATGGCGTGATTCACGGGATCGAACGGCTTTTAATCCCCCGATCTGTACAGCAAGATTTCAACAATCGGAGAAATTTACAGTCAATCTCCGCTGTTAAGCCTGAAGGGGCGCCTGAGGTCGACCCGAGAACAAACCGTCTCAAGAAACCGGCGCCCCCTGCCAAACCCGGTTCCCCGCCGGCTCTTCCAATCTACGACGCGATGGCTCCAGGCCCTTCACTGGCTCCGGCACCAGCTCCCGGTCCAGGTGGACCCCATCATCACTTCAACGGCATGAGACAAGTGAAGGATTTCATCCAGACGCTGCTGCAATACGGGGGCTACAATGAAATGGCTGACATTTTGGTAAATTTAACATCTTTGGCCACAGAAATGGGGCGGCTGGTGTCGGAGGGGTATGTCTTAACCGTTTTAGCCCCCAACGATGAGGCCATGGCGAAGCTGACGACTGACCAACTGAGCGAGCCGGGCGCCCCGGAGCAGATCATCTATTACCATTTGATTCCAGAGTACCAGACTGAGGAGAGTATGTACAATGCCGTCAGGAGGTTCGGGAAGGTGTCCTACGATACTCTCCGGCTGCCGCACAAGGTCGTGGCTCAGGAGGCTGATGGGTCAGTGAAATTTGGGCACGGCGAAGGTTCTGCTTACTTGTTCGATCCCGATATATACACTGACGGAAGGATCTCCGTTCAGGGGATTGATGCGGTCCTGTTTCCACCTGAGGAGAAAACCCAAGATGAAAAGAAAACAATCAAAGTCGCAACGGTGAAACCCAGAAGAGGTAATGTCTTCCAATTAAATTGAACGCAAAAGTTTCCCATTTTTATTCCAAATTTGAATGCTTTAGAATTAGAATTAGGGTTTTAGGTACTATCCATCCACTAGGTTAGCCATCTGGAGGAATGCCGGCGGTGGTGTCAGGTGTGCGGTGGACGGTGAATTCGGTGCCGGTGAAATGAGAGTGTCGGTGGGTCAGAGGGCATAGTTGTCCTTTTCTATGTCTACTTTTAGTTTTTTGCCTTTTTTTTAATTATTAGAAAGTGAAGGGGTAGGTCCGTGATTTTTCATTTTTTAGGATTTCTTTTGTTTTATTTTTCCCTTTCATATTTATATAAAAAGTATTCCTAACTTCTTAAGAGTATGAAATTACATTTGTATACGATTACATCTACTATAATTTTTCAAAGGCTAAAAACTTCTCAATCATGAAGTTTAGATGCTAATTATTATTGGTGTTAGTTTATAAAATTGTCAAAAAAAATATAGGTTTTATGGGATAAGACACCTTACCTCACTATAATACATTAATCAGTTCTCTAATAAATTGATTATTTATTAATTGCATTAGCTGTTGAAGAAGGAATACAATTTTTTTCTTCTTCTTGGCTGTCGGTTTTATATTAATTAGACTTTTAAATGGGAATATGGTAGCTATAGATTGGGACTTGAGAGTAGTTAGGTTTCAAAGTATGTTAGATAGGAAGTGTCAATCATATCATGCCTTATGTGCTCCATTTTTCTTCAAGTTTTCGCATAATATATACGATGGTTATATGTTTGTATGTATGTATGAATGATTAAACTATAAAGCATGCTTGTTAAAATGGTTATAAATATTGAGTTGACCGACTCATAATATCTTAACATTGATCAGTTTTTTATGAGAATTTTTAATAACCAAGTGTGTTTATGTAAATGAATTTGGAAATTGACTATCTTTCTTGTGAGCTCTTATTCTTTTAGGTTTTTATTATCACTGCATCTAATTTTTCAGTTGCTTTTAAGAGAAAAAGAAATATATATATATATATATATATAGATACACACAAGGCAATTACCGACATATCTACTACCAAACAAAGAACTATTTTGTTGTTCTTTTAGTTAGAAAATAGGAGACAGGGTTTGGTAAGGGCAATCCATGGGACAGCTAGGAAAATTTCTTGATCCTTTGAGCTCTAGAAGATGAATGTGCGACATTCATTGTATGGACTGAAGTGTCGGTTTGAGGGGTTAGAATTAGAAGGGAGTGTCGGTGTAAGGGGTGAGGACAGAAGGTTATGTAGCTGCCTTGTAGTTCTCATTATGGTGCTTAATTATTATTCTATTTCTTATTATTCTATCGTCTTTGTTCATATATACATGTTTTCTTTGATGGTACTTTATTATTGTGTCTTTTAATATTTGTTAGGGATATTTCTTTTGATCTTATTGTAGCTATTTAATGTAAACCAAATATATTAAATATTGAGGGACCATAATGATATGGTTGGGGTTCCTTGTCAGTATCACAGAAATTGCTTTATATATATATATAATTTTTTTTCCGGCCTTCCAGAAATTGCTTTCTTTCATTGAAATATTTGCCAACTAGAAAATGTAAAATCAAGTTTTTGGCTGTTAAACTTGCGTGTAATCTGTCTGAAAAGCTTGTTGATTGAAGTGATTGTGACATTTTATCAAATATTAGAGGGTATTGTTAGGTTGACAATTTTTTTTGAAGAGAAAAGATGTAATCTTGTTACGGTGGCTAGCTGTTGTCATGATGTTAGTATATCGCTTTCATTTGATCTTCAGTCTTATTATTATTATTTTTTTAAATATTGTTATACTGAATACTTCATCACCTAACATTGGACAGGAAAGTTGCTTGAAGTAGCATGTAGGATGCTTGGTGCCGTTGGTCAAGATTCTCATTTCAGCAAATGCCAATGAAAGGAACCATCATTTCTTCCATCAAAAATGAAAACTTCAAACAATTAAAAAGGTAAAAATTCCCCTTCTGAGTTCTGATTCCACATCTCGATCTCATCAACTTTTATAATCTTTAGATGCTAACAAATCGGCCAAATTGCACAATAATGCTCAAAGCCGGTGTGCTTTTATCCCACTGGAATATCCCTCCAATGTGGAGAGGTTAATTTGTTTTCTCTGTGGGCAATCGTCAATGTTAACCTTAGATCTGCCTCCAGATTCCTAACCCTAAACAGAAGAAAACCCAAAATTTAGACGTTTGATATAGAGAGTGAGATTGATCATTGTCCTTTTTTGTATGTAACTTGGAATGGAGGTCAAGTATATATCTCATTTTAGCAGAAGAAAATGTGATTTTGCCAACTAATACCGGGGTTTATGTCTATCTTGTGCAGGTTGAGCAGCATGTTGTAAAGTTCCATTGAATGAGATTTGATTTGTTACTTTGTCTACAATAGGATTTTATTAAATGGGGGTTCCTGACCTGATTCCATAGATGGGGAGATGGAGAGCTTCTAAGTCTTGAAGTTCCATTATACAATGTGAAGGGAAAAGGTCACCATCGTTACTCAAAGGCTCAGAAGGCCTTTTTTTTCTTTTTTTTTTCTTTTTTTTTTTCGTATTTTAATTTGTGTGTGAAAATTGAAATTATGCAAATACGGTGGTGGTGGTGGTGGTGGTGGGCTGTCTTTCTTCTGTTTGTTTTGAAGAGAAAATTTTGTATGATGTGGAATAAGCAGAAAGAACAGTTGGACACATGGGCATCCCACTTTATTATAATAATAAAAAGGTAGGGAGAGAAAGGGAGAACGGAAAAAGGAAAAAGATTGTGGAAGTTCAATAAAATAAATTTGTATTCCTTGTTTGTTAATGGTGGTTTAAGAGAAGTAATTGTAATTATTTTTTGTGAATACCTTTCTCTTTTTAATCAATATTTCTCTTGAAGTAATCATTCATTTAATCTATCCTTCCTTGTAATAGAATGGACTAAGAACTGCAATCTGACGTACCATCCACTGAAAATATGGGGAAAAAAATTAATAAAAGAACTGCCTAAAGCATATTTTGCTTTGCCATTGTTAATTAGGAATAATAAACAATCAATAATTTCTTAAATTGGATCGAAATTATTGCATTGAAATTAGTTTCATAATAAGTTGAATTTAAGTTAACTATTTCTTATTTATTGCCTTTTTTTATGTAATTGTTATTAATAAAAGAAAATAATGCTTATCAACCTTATTTCCTAAAAATTAAGAGGAAAATTATCTTAAAATTACGTCGTTTCAATAAATTTTTATTAAAAAAGATTAAACTATTTTATTTTTAAAATATGCATTAAGGTGATTTTTATTCTTTTTCTTCTTAATTTTTTGGAGATAAAGCGGACAAACACTAATTTTTTAATAAAAACAAAAGAGAAAAACTATTGAATAACCAATTCACGGGGAAGGAGGCCCTAAAGAATTAAGGTCTCAAGTTAGGAAATGAAATTTACTATTGAGTAACCAACACTTGGATTGGATATCAAACAAAAAGAAAAACTAACATTTGGTTTAAGTTTATAAGTAAAGATGATAAGCAATTTATTACTAACATTTATATATATTGCTGATAAAAAACTTTAATATTTATGTACATTATAAATTAAAACTAAATGTTTTGACAAACGTTATTTTGGTTTAACAAAAATCACCTGAAAAGTAATGATAATAAGCAACTTATTACTAACATTTATGTACATTTCAAATAAAGGTTAATGTTCAAACAAACATTATTTTGGTCTAATAAGAGTCACGTGAAGGGTGTTTTATGAGCTTGAAATTATTTTAAATCTAGGTCTAACCCTTGGTAATATCACCTTACTTCTCCATAAATTTAAGAGATTTTCATCTCAATAAAAGCAAGATAGCGGCATATTAGGGTTTTACATCATGATAAAAGAAGATTTAGAGAGTGATTTAGGGTTAAGTTTATTGATGAAGGCTTGAAATTCCTTAAAAATGAGTGGCACAGGAAATGAAGGAAAGAAGTGCATGTAGTTCTAGTGGAGAGAATCAGATGCATGTAGTTCTGGTGGAGTTATTCTCTTTTCTTGGCATGTCAAGTTGGATTTATTTTCTCGCTTCTTATTTCACCAATTTTTGTATGAATCAATTCATTAATTGATATTTATTAAATTTTTATAAAATTTAACCCTTTTCTTTTCTTTTGTTTACTTTTTGTGCGTGTGTGTTTTAGTGAGTCATGGCAATGCCCATGTTAAAGAAAGAGAAAGCTTCAGCAGAATCAGCATGAAGGGAAACTCTTCTTGAAATAGCCTTCCCCTTATCTCTGCTTCCTTGGTTTTTCTTTTTTTTCTTTTTTTTTAAAGGGATATTGAAGAGATAAGTATTATATTATATTCATCTCAAAGAAAAAAAAAAGCGCAATGTCTCTTGTTAAATATCTCAATAGCTAGATCTTAAGACTTTAAAAGAAAAAAGTTTAATCTGATATTTAAGTTGTAGTCTTTTTCTTAATTTTTATGCTATATAATCCATTATTGTGATGTATTTTTTGTGTTGTGATGTATTTTTTGGATTGTGATTTTATATATTAAATGTAGTATAATTAAGCAAAATAAATCATTTTTGCTCACTACGTTCTCATTGAAATGAAAATTTTAATTATATGATGTATAACCTTAAAGCATAGTTAAAATATTAAAGTTGAAAAATCACTCTTAAATTACAGTAGAATTATGAAAGTAAGATAATAAAAAAGAGTAGAGAAAGCTACTTGAAGAGAAATTTTTTTGAATCTGTGTTAGTAAAAAAATATTAGTTTGAACAACTACAATTCTTATATGTAATAATATTGAAATACCTCAACCTCAATTAGTTAATATGAAGATTTATATGGAACTGGAAAGAGACAGACAAAATACTATGTATGTTAAGAAATTTTTGGTTAATTCACGGTCATATATAAGCATTAGGGCACCCTATAATAAAATTCATCTTTTCTAATTCAAAGATGGAAAAAATAAATGAAATCTTGGTTGGAATTAATAATAATTCATAATAATAGATGAATTATTTAAAATTGAAACTAACTATTGACACATGCTTGGATTGATACTGACAAAATCATATGAATATGTTAAAAAAAAAAACTTCAAAATATTAGATTCACAATGATAGACAACCCATTGTAATTTAAGAAAACTTAAATTAGTAACAAAGAATTGATACGTGTTAAATTAATATTGTGAGAATCACGTGAACATGCTTTACAAACTTTAGAACATTTTAATTCCGTGTCTCAACAATAGTATTGTCAAAATTCTCTATAAATTGAATTGGTGTATCATTAGAGAAGTAGGAAGAATTAGAGTGATGGTGGAAGAAAACTTATCGTGTGGTTTGGAGTTGAGTTTATTCAACAATGTTTGTATAAGATGAGAAAAATGAGTGGCATGGGAAAGAAGCAAAGGATTGTGTTGAAGAATAAGTCAGTTGAGAATCAGTCTATCAAGTTTTGCTTGCTTTCTTGCATGGCATATGATGTTATTCTAATTCTTTTTCTTTCTGTTGATCTTGAGAAATTTTTATCTCAAAATGATTGTGTTGAAGAATATTTATTCATCAAATATAGATTTTCCATTTTCTCTTTGTTCTCAAATAAATCAGATTATTTATTTCATCCCACCAGAGTGGAAAGGAACCTCGACTAGCGACATCTGCCTACCTAAAACCAGCTTCAAGCAGCATCTCAGAACAAAGTTGGTCGAAATTAGAATAATTATTTGTCTCCATGGCTGAATCAATACAAGGTGCAAACTTGTGTCTTAAAATTGACTTGTAATATAGACAATATCTCTATATAATCATCAAGCATTCTTGCCACGGAAAAAAGTAATAATAATCATCGAGCATTGTTTTCATTTATCCAATGAGGCCCAGAAGGACCACTCTAATTAATTGCATTGAAGCTTTTAGAAGAAACCGAACAAGTAGAAACCAAGAACTTAACAAAATCTAAACCTTATATTTTGTCACCACTGCAAGGTATGAAGGTACAGTTGGGGAATCAAGAACACTTGAGGGCAAACATGCATGAGGTGGACCACCATCCTGTCAGTAGTAATCGAGATCTGTAAACCACGCCAAAGGGAGAGACAAAAGAATGAGAGGGTTATTAGTGTTGTGTAACTTAAAAAATATTCGAAAAAGAAAAAAAGAACCAAGATTCAGAGACTTGAGAAGAGGCTGCTCTCATAAAACAAATTCAAAACGTTTCTTCTTATATGATACATATTCTAGAGTACACCCAACAATGTAATAGCTCAATTGCTCAAACCTTATAAAAA